AAAACGAACTGGGTCACCTCTCTCCCTACAATATATTAAAACAAAGTTGGGGAAAAAAAGATGGGGTAGGGAGAAGTAGCATGGTCCCATACTCCCCCATGCCAATCTCCAGTCTGAGAGGGGGTCCTCTGTGGAACCCCCAGCTTCTGCAGCACACAGTTTGAAAACTACTTCAGATTCCCTTCTGGCTCTAATTGGAACTATCTCTCATCTGAAGGAGTTTAATGTTTGCAGCACCTAAGAATTGTGAATGGCTGTTAGTAGTGGGAACCTGACAAATAAGGAGAATAGGGGGCTGTTTATTTATTCACTTATTTGGTAACAAAGTCCATAGGGAGGCACTGCAGGGCAAATGTGGCAGCTCTAAGCATCATCTGGGAGAAGAGACCCAGGCTCCTTTTATCTTTCTGTTCTATCTTTCGGAACTCACGGCTGCCCTTCTCAAATTTGGCTCTTAGTCAAAACATGGCTGCAGAAGTGCCAGACATCACATTCGTACTCTAAACAAGAAAAAGGAGGAAGGGGAGAAGGGCAGATAGGCACACACCAATTTTGTCTGCTCCCTCTAAACACCTTTCCTGGGAGCATCAGCTGGGATTCCAGCGGATATCTCCTTGGCAAGAACTGTGTCATGTGACTACCTCTGGCTTCAGGGGAAGCCAGCAAAAGTTATCATCATTATTTTTTAAGTTGAGGTATATTGGCACCCAGCATAAAACTAGGGCTCTGCTAATAATGATGATGACGAGAATGGATACTGGCTAGGCCACAGAAAATACAGCCACCACGGCTCAGATCTACTGAGCCCTTACCAAGTACCAGGCACCACGCTGAGAATTTTGTAGGCTTTATCTCTTTTAATTCTCATAACTGCCCAGGGAGGTCAATGCTCATCATCCCCATTTTATAGCTGAGGATGTGGAGGCTCAGAAAATTAAGTGACTTGGCCAAGATCCCACAGCAAAAAAGATGATGAAGCCAGGATATTAACCCAGGCACTCAGATGCTCGAGTCCAAACCCTTCATCACCAGATTATACCGCTCCGGTGAAGACCAAGAATAAATTACACCCTAGGCCCTTCAATGCTGTTTCAGCATCTTTAAAAAATGGAGCTGCGGGGCGCCTGGGTGGCTCAGTTGGTTAAGTGACTGCCTTCGGCTCAGGTCATGATTCTGGAGTCCCAGGATCGAGTCCCGCATGGGAGTCTGCTTCTCCCTCTGACCCTCCCCCCCATGCGCTTTCTCTCTCTCTCATTCTCTCTCTCAAATAAATAAATAAAATCTTAAAATAAAAAAAATAAAAAATAAAAAATGGCGCTGCGGGGGGCGGGGGGGATGGTGGGGGGAGGGGACACAGAGGGCTAGAGCCCCGCCTTTTCTGCTCCTCTCAGTGTCCCTGCTGTCTTCCTCCTGGTAAGGAAGGCAGCGTGACACACTGAATTCGCTATGATGCATTTACCGGAACGTAAGTATTTTAGCTACGGTTTGGAGGGAGTTCAGGGGAAACATTTTCAGGGACTTGACTTGCAGGCATGATTTATGGAGCAGGGTTAAAAGAGCTAAATATATATGGGCTGGCACAGTATGAGAAGTGAGAGGAGGAGGGAGGAGGGTGGCACAAAAAGAAAACACGGAGCCAGCCCCAGTGTTCCAGAAATTTCGGGGAGGGCTGCAGCAACATGGGGCAAAGGGGTCACAACTCAGATCCAGTTGAAAAGAGAAAAACAACAAGCCCTTGGCTCCCTCAACCAGATGTTTCTTCAGCTCTGCGAGGGGAGGTGGCGGTGTCTCCTGCTTCCTGGGAGTCAAGGGGCATGAACAGAAATGGAGCCGTTTGCTGTGGGGTAATCGTAGAGGCAGAACTCAGAAACGGTCTCCCAAGAGGAATGGGCAAGGTCTTTAAGTCCAGCTTTGTATTTACAGACCACCTTGGCAACATTTTCCTCTTTTGATCATGGCAACAATATTATTCGCATTTTGCAGATAAGAAACCTAAAGCAGAGCTGGCTGGAGTGCCAAGTTCAGGTGATAGCACACACGTTCCATCAAGGGCAGATCCAGGAATGGGGAGGGCAGCAAGAATGGCATCTTGACTCCATACAGCTGCCGGTACATACTAGGTGCACAGTAAATGCCATCTGTCAGTATCTAACACAGCTTATAACCAAATCCATGCACATATTCCCTTGTCAGGATTTCTCTTCAGGGAAGTTCAACTTCTGTTTCTGTCCATTCATCAGGAGAAGTACTTACTGAAGAGAAAGTGTTAGCCCTTTGAGACTAAGGAGTAACGCAGACTAATGTCTCACAAGCCAACGCTGAATGAGAGAGCCACTAACCTGGGATTTTATTTAATAATGGACTTCTTTCTTGTTATGAGGGGGGTTTCCTGGGGTGTTGGTAACATTCTATATCTGGATCCACTTGTGAAATTCATTGAGCTTTATTATTTGCATATTTTTAATTTTTATTTTTTTAAGATTTTATTTATTTGACAGAGAGAGAGAGAGCACGCACAAGCAAGGGGAGCAGGAGAGGGAGAAGCAGGCTCCCTACTGAGCAGGAAGCTGGACCCAGGGCTCGATCCCAAGACCTTGGGATCATGACCCTAACTGAAGGCAGACGCTTAACCAAATGAGCCACCCAGGCGCCCCTATTTGCATACTTGTTAAAAAAGTTTTATTTATTTATTTTAGAGAGAGAGAGAGAGCATGCGAGCAGGGGGAGGGGCAGAGTGGGGAGGGACAGGCGGAAAATCTCAAGCAGACTCCATGCTCAGTGTGGGACCCAACATGGGACTTTATCTCAAGACCCTCACATCACGACCTGAGCTGAAACCAAGAGTTGGATGCTTAACCTGAACTGACTGAACCATCTAGGCGCCTCTTATTTGCATACTTTTTATTGAAGTATACTAAATATATAGAAAGGTTCTTTAAAAAATAAAAGGGCATCTTCACTAATTTAAGGTCCTAAATTGGCATTCTGGTTAAGACTATGATGCGGCAGGGACCACTTAATTTCACTCTGTTTCCTTTTTAGAAGGAGACTTTTGATTTTTAACTGGGCACAGGGCCAGCTAGAATAAAAATTGCAGCTTCCAGCTTCTTTTGTAACTGAGTATGGCCTTGTGACTAGGACTGGCTAGTGGGATGTCAAGGAATGATTGCATGCAACTTTCAAGAAGTTGCTTAAGGCAGGTGACATGCCCTTCTTTCCTTCTCTTCTCCTTCCTGCTGGCTCAGAGGTAGACAAGATGGCTGGAGCTTGGCAGCTATCTTAGTCTGGGAGGAAAAACCCATGCTGCAAGCAGTGTCACTTTGGATGGCTGCTCCCTGAACATCATGGAGCTCTCACAGCAGCCCTGAGCTATTTTCCTCCGGATCTCTTTTTACAAAAGTGAATACACTTCTCCTTCATGTGAGCAACTGTTTTGTGGTTTCTGTTACTTGCAGCCAGACTTAATTTCAGTCGATATGTATGGAGGGCCCCAAATTCAGGTTACTTTGAGGAGGGGGAGGAGGGAGTGTGATGAGCTTCAACATTACTGGTTAAACCTCTGTTACTTAAGCTAGCTGGTGGGCACATGGATATTAATTAGGATATCTCATAACTTGGGGGGTTTATTGGAGTATCACAAACGAAATCTTTTTAAAAGGCACTGGCAGAAATGGTGTCCAAGCAAGACCATGAGACATGTAGAAAAGAGAATCAACTGGTGGCAACTTTGGGCTTCATCCAGGTGCTATGTCTGAATTAGTTTTGGTGTTAGGGTCTGAGTGCAGCCTCTGAATAAGCCTCGTGAACAGAATAAACAAGACTTGAAGGGGCAAAGGTGAGTTCAGCCTGGGGATACCCAGTGTCTGGAAGCAAGAAGGGAAGGAAAAGAAGATTGGGTACCACTCCCTCCCCCAAGCTGCCAAGACCCTATCTAAGTTAGGTCAACAGGAAGCTCTCATTGCCAACAAGGCCTGATAGGGTCTCTTGACCCCACCTACCTTCATTTTTAAGGAAAATAAAGAAGTATTTCACAAAACACATTTTCTTCCTTCTTCTTTTTTTTTTTTTTCAGGTAAGCTCTATGCCCAACATGGGGCTCAAATTCACAATCCCAAGATCAAGAGTCGCATGCTCTACCGACTGAGCCAGCCAGGCGCCCCCACAGAACACATTCTCACTGCAACAAATTCAACCAGATGTGATTAAAGTAAAACATGAACATACTCGCCTACTCAGATTGTATCCTACCCCTCAGAGCTGGCCATGCTGAACGCTATGTGAGCACGTGGTCGTTGGCAAGGCCAAAGTAAAGGCCGGAACCCCAGGGAGACCAGGCAGGTATCTCCAGCACCTGGGGGCGTCCTCTGCCTGGATACTGCTCACAGATACTGTAGGCTATGGGGGCTGGGGAAAGGGCTCTGCTCTTGAGAGGGTAGGCCTAGGAACTCCTTGAACGTGTAACTCTGGTGCATGCCTGGGATCAGGATGTTTCAGAAGAGGCAGACCTACTTCTTGCCTTGACTGGTCCGCAGCCTATCAGCCACACCTCACCAGGACAGGCCCCAGAGGCCAGGAAGCCACTTCCTCCCACATTTGTGATTCTCCTTTAAAAAAAAAAAAAAATGGCAGCAGCTCCGAGCATTCCTGAGTACCATGGTGATAGACATCACAGCAACACATGGATAGAGGGGCACCTTTGTGAGATATCTTGAGCCTGATGAATCATGTGTCAGGAAACAGGCACCCTAGACCTCTGAGTATTCAAGTTTGCAGCGGCAAGAACAGCTTGTGGTGACATGCAGTATCTTTGCTGTGCCCAGGTAACTACGGTACAATGGATCATCCCTCATCCCTGTTTTGTTAGAGGATATAGAAAGTTATGTTCATTCCATTCGCTGGAGGAGGAAAGGCGATCACATTGCTCGAGACAGGAATTGAGAGGGCCTGGCAAAGGTTTTCTCTTGACTTTTACAATTATAAACATAGAAAGGCATTTAGTTTTACTACTGAGTTATCTTTACTGAGAAGTTGGGAATGTCCTAGTAATTCAGACTCCCCTTGTTTGACTCAATACTGAGTAGTAACACATATAGGCACCAATATTGTTCTTAAATGGAGTTTTGCATATAGTACCTCATTAAATCCAGTTGTCACATCCAAAAAAGATAATAGGTAAAAATTATCCCCAAATTACAGATGAGCAAACTGAGGCTGAGGAGGCTTACATAATCAGCAGAAGTCACATAGTTAATTAATGATGGAGCACATATCTGAACTCAGACAGGTTGACTTTCAGTGCCAGATCCCGGAGGCTTCGTCAATAAGGTGTTCTGTTCTCTCTGGAATCCTAAGGAAGGGCCAGGTGGACATTCGTCACTGAAAGATCAGAAAGGCATCATTACAAGGGCAATTGGAACCAAGAATATCTTGGTCTTTTTGTGTCATGTAAAGAATATCTTGTCAGGGTGCCTGGATGGCTCACTTGGTTGAGTGTCTACTCTTGGTTTCAGCTCGGGTCATGATCTCAGGGTTGTGGGATTGAGCCCCACCTCGGGATCTGTGCTCAGTGTGGAGTCTGCTTAAGATTCTCTCCCTTTCCCTTTCCCTCCCCCTCTGTCCCTCCCCCCACTCACATGAGAAAAAGAAAATCTCACCTTTTGGTGTCATCTAAAATGCTGTTTGCTAGGAAAACAACAAAACAACCAAAAAAACCAACAACAAAGTGATCTAACCCGTGATTTAACTGATAAGGGACATTCATTATTTCATATAACCAGAAGTTCAGAGATGGAACCCCTCCAGGGTTGGTTAACTTAGCAGTTTAATACCAAATGCAACGCTTCAATGGCAAATGCAAGATCCAGGTTCTTGCCATATTTTTGCTCTGCCATCCTCAGCATTCAGTAGCCCTGCTTTGTCCATGGAGGGTAATTCAGGACCCCCAAGACCCCCAGTGGATCCCTGAAACCACAGATGGTGCTGAACACTATATATATTATTTTTTTCCCCTATAAGCACATATTTATGATAAAGTTCATAAACTCGGGTGGTAAGAGAATAACATAACTAATAATACAATAGAATTATAACAATATACTATAATAAAAGCTATGTAAGTGTACTCTGTCTCTCTCAAAGTACCTTATTGTACTATTTACCTTCTTCCTGTGAAGCTGTGAGATGGTAAAACGCCTATGTGATGAGATGTCGTGGAGCGGCGTAGACATTGGAACGGCATTAGGCTCCTGTTGGCCTGCTGACAGTATGTCAGAAGGAGGATCATCTGCTTCCAGACCACGGTTAACTGTGGGTAACTGAAGCCACAGAAAGCAAAACTGCAGATAAGGGGAACTGCAGTATTGACCTTTGCAAGCTTGTCCCTTCACCAGCACAAGATGGCTGCCATCAACCTCACACAACAATGTCCAAAGGCCACAAGGTCCGAAGACGACATCCTCACATCCCTTTTGAAGAATATGGAGCAGACCTCCTTTTATGCCATAACCGTGCCATGTGTGCATTCTTAAGCCAATCACCAGCAGGGAGAATGGAATCACTACCGTGATTGGTTTGGTGCTTAACAAAGGCTGCACGTTAGAATCACATGAAGAGTTAAAAAAAAAAAAAAAAAAGTCCCTACATCCAGGTCCCAGTTCTAGAAACTCTGTTTGAACTGATCTCAGCTCCTTTCCAGGGTATCATTAAAATCTCCCCAGGCACTCTACTGTGCAGCCAGGGTTGAAAACCCTTCATTTAGACCAATCAGGATTCCTCCCTGGGGCTGGGGCTAGAGCGGGGAGGGGGAGGCCTGCCAGGAGACACATGGTTGCCTGATTCCTGAACAGAGCTGGGCTTCTAGTTAGCAAGACATAAGGTGGATTGGTGGACCAGGGACAGGGTTGGCTCTTGGGTAGGCGGCCAACATCTGCCCGCCCCCTTCTTGGAGGCGGGGATTCCAGCAGAGTTGCAGCACACTTAGATTTCTTCTTTCCTGGCCATCAGATGCTTTCACTGATATCCTCGGGTTTCTCAAAGTGTGGTCTGTGACCGCCAGGACACCTTAAAATGTAGGTTCCTGGGCTCCACTCCAGACCGGTGGCACTAGAACATCTGAAGGTGGGACTTGGGGCCTAGCATTGCGACAGACACCCCAAGCAATCTGCTGTACACGCTCACGCTTAAGAACAATTGAATTAGGTACTGCAGAAACAAAGTACAAGGGGTCAAAGTTTTCCCTTTCTCCAGGAGGCAGCAGCTTGAATAGTAGTTTTCTTATTATTTTCTTGTGGGTCTCAGTGGCTTGGGAAGATGAAAAATGCTTGCCTGAAAGTTGGCTTGTGGAGCCAAAAAGAAATCAGCTCTGAAGCTGAATATGGGGATGGTTGCCGAGCCCCCGGGAGGTGTCCTCAGTGCCAGGCCCATCCTCCAGCCTGGGAGGCCTCTGTGTGCCAGGAAGAGAGGCAGCCTGGCATGGCCACTGAGGAGGCTACACGGCTGCTCTCTGGGGTTGATGTGGGCAGTTCTGTACTGGCTCTGTGTGTGTGCATGTGTGTACGTATGGGGTTGGTCCTTCAAGGTTCTCATGAAATACTGGAAGTAATATTCATTAAGCCCTACTCCTTGGTGAGTAGATTCTGATCCTCGAACAAGTAGAAGGGAAACAGGTGGCTGAACACAATGACTCTCCAGGGCTGGCCTGTCCCAGCCTGTCCCAGCCGTGGCCCTCAAACTTCAAGGCCTCCAGCCTCCCCCTAGTCCCCTCTGTGCACGGGATGAATCTCATCGTGCCGTGTCCCCACGTCCTGGGCCCCCGACCTCCCAGAACAGCCACAGGTCCTTCAATGTCTGCCCCCTTCTACCTCTCCAGCCAGGTGCCCCTTGGACTGCTCCTTGGCTTCCACACACTGAACCTGGGCGGGGGGGGGGTCTCCCCTCTGCTCTACCGCCCTGAATCCCTTGGGGTTCCCTGAATGCCTCCACATTGTGGTTTCCACTCCCCGCCACCTTGCCTGGCAAGCTCTGATCTCATTCTCTAATTCATACAGTGAGGAGCCGGTTCAGGAAGCCAGTCCTGATCTCCCTCCTCCCTCCCGCAGAACTCCCACTCCGACGTGGGTGCCCCAGGAACAGCTCAGGAGGACTCCCCCAGAAGTGCTTGCGGCCCCTTATTGCGTGGGGAGGAGCACGTGTCTCTTCTGGGGCAGGAGAGCCCCTTGGGCAAGGCTTTACTCTGTAATCCTGAGCCTTCTGAGCAGCAGGAGCCCATCAAGTGCTCGTTGATGGAATGAAGGACACCTGGTGTTGCCGAGAGTCGCTCCACCTTCCTGGCAGCCGGAGCCCTGGGGAAATGAGTCTTGCCCCATCACCACAATCCTTTGACTCCACTATCCTTTGACTCTTAACAAGTGCAAAAAGCTAACCTTTGCTGGGCTGAGTCCTCTAAGAAGCTGGAGAAGCTTCCAGAGCAGGAGCTTGGTCTGCTGGGAAGGCTGACGGCAGCCTCTTCCTTGAGGCGGCGTGGAGGAGAGAAGGCAGGAAGGAGGGCAGGGGGAAAGGGGGAGAACAGGGGGAGAGGGCTTTCCAGAAGCCAGGTGCTTTGTGATGCAGCATCTTCTCTTTCTTGCCCATGAAAGCACCTCAACATGGGTGTCACTATTCTCCCAGAGACCACTAGAGTGTGGCCAAGTGTGAACTTGCTCAAGATCTCAAAGCAGGAAAAGGAGGCCAGTCTGTTTTTAAACACATGGCAGGTTGGGCTGCTGCAAAAAGCTGTAAACAAAAACACTAGATAAAATGTGTGTGCTAGAAACTTCTAGAAAAGGTGTACCCCTGGACAGGAGTGATTTTGAAATTAGACAACTTACTCCTCTTAGCTGAGTGACCTTGGGCAAATGACTTCACCCCGCTGGACCTCAATTTCCTCATCAGCAAAATGGAAATAACAATGGGTGTCCTGCGCAACTGTTCAAGGATTAAATGTGTGTGAAGTACTCAGCGAAGCACGCAGTGGATGAGCTATATTATTAATGTTGTAGGTGCTGCTACTAGCAGGCATTTTTGTCTCCTCCAGGAATCCAGCTGTGGGCTAGGCCTGAAGAGGGCAGGAACTGTAGCTCTCCCTCATCTCTGCATCTCCAGGGCCCAGATGTCTTGGTAAAGGTCTGAGGGTTGAATTCAGACTTGTTATTCTTCTCTGTTCCGTGGCACTTTGCCCTTCTCCGAAACCTCTGAATATATTCTTCCCTTTGAGCCTTGCCAGATGCCTTGGGGGCAGGCAGGGCAGGTGAGACTATCATTCCCATGTTAGAGCTGCACAAAATTGAGGCTTACAGAGATGATGCTTCCTGCCCCAGTCACACTGCTGAGCTGAGCTGAGCTGAGCTGAGCTGAGCTGAGGTCAGGCTCTTCAGACTATGGGTTTCGTGGTCACTGTTGGTGAAAACCATCCACAGGGAGCAGAAGGTGTTGCAATGAGCTGAGTTAGCAATCGCCGGGGAGACACCCCCTTCCTCAAATCCTGGGGCTTCTTGCCCATAGATTCAGAACGGGTTTCAGAGAAGGCCCGAGCCCTGGTCATCTGGTCACACTGATCTTGGCCCCTCTTCCTGCCCAGGCTCGGCCCTGCCCTCTGTCCGAGGTGGACCCCAGCTGGACCATCAGGGCCCACCAGACAGGACCTGGCAAGCTCTGTGGGTTTCGGCACACTTCCCTGGGCGCTCGGAGGAGGGGAAGCAAGAGGCCTTGCCCAGCTGCAAAGACACCCGAGGTTTGCATCCTGGCCTGGCCGACAGCCTCACTGACAGGTTTATGACCAGCTTTTATGACTTCCAAGCTTAGTCACTGCCTAAGTCAGCCTGCTCAGAAACAAACACTTCACCAAGCTGTGACCCAGATGGTTCGGCAGGGAAAGGCACACCCCACCCCTTGGCCTCCGGAGCCAAGTCTAGGGACATGGGAGGCCAGGAGTCTGGGTCATTGTGCATTTCAGTGACCCACACAGTTGTGCTTTATTTTCTTCAAGTGTCCATGACTGAGTTTTCTGAGGGTAGGAAGCAGATGCCTAGCTGCCACCAGAGACAGCCTGATACGTGTCAAGGGCATTGGATCCTATCCCCAGGCGTTCCTTGAGAACTGAGCCCGGACGGGTGAAGGGGGCAGGGTTGGTACATCCTTTGGCAGACAGTTCAACCCCCTTCCCGACTTTCAGTTTACACACTGAAGATGGAAGCCCTAATTCTGACCCAAAGCAAACCCCAGATTCCTACTCCTGATGTTTTTCCACCCCTATCATCAACCCAGCGTGGCCTCTTTTAAAACCAGAAGCCTCTCCAGAATCTCTCTAGCCTCCACCCAGATCTGCAGGCCTTCACCCACCTAGAACGGGTGCAGGCCCAGGTGGAGGGGAACACCCCTGGGCCCAGCTTGCCCAGCGGAGCCTGGCGGGGGATGAGGAGCCCTCACCTGGGAGCCAGCCTTCTTGCTGTAAGGACACAGGCCTCTGCTGGTGGCCTTCCCTCCAGCTCAGTGAGGGCCACCTCCACAGGCCCGAGAAGAGGCGAGGTGCCAAGTTAACTGGAAACTGGCTCAGACCCAGAGTTTGTGGCTCAGAGCTTTGGATGGGGAAAGAATTTGGAGGAGTCCACTGAACTTGAGTTGGCTTACTTGTCCATTTTCTTGGCCGTGTGGCTGTAGGGCACTTGGGTCATAGCATCTGCTCTCGTTCTCTGGCTGCTCATTTAACTCTTATCCCCCTGGATCAAGTCACTGTCGCCACGTGTCTGATTAGAACTGCCGAGCTTCCTCACTGATGTCCCGCTTGGAGGGACAGCTCCATTCCAGCTCCTGTGATGAATAATAGCTATCATTTTTATTCTTTTCCTCCCTGGGATTTTTATCTTCTTAAATACGACCCTTCCTTCACTTCTCTTTCTTTCCCTCCACACGTACACTGGAATTTTATTCTAAAAATTGCTCTTGGATGCCTGAGTGGCTCAGCTGGTTAAGCGTCCGACTCTTGCTTTTGGCTCAGGACATGATCTCAGGGTCATGAGATCAAGCCCCATGTCAGGCTCTATGCTGGGTGTGGAGCCCGCCTAAGAGTCTCTCTCCCTCTCCTTCTGCCCCTTCACATCCCTGCCCACGTGCTCTCTCTCTCTCTCTCTCTGAAAAAAACTAATGATAAAATAAAATAAAAAATAAAAGTAAAATAAAAAAATAAAAATCGCTCTTGATCTCTAGCTAATTATAATACTGTAATGCTGTTAAAGGAGGAAAATTTCACACACATGAAATGCGGGGCAGCATCACCGATAAG